CACAATCAACAATAAGAAGAGCAATTCATTCTGCTCCAAAATTAGAACCTTTTTTTCCATGTCATGAATAATCTCTTTCAAAAGTATAAGCTATTAGGAGAAGATACCATTAATTTTATATATCTAATGGTTACTACAAACATGCATGAGTATGATCCAAAAAACAAGTATCAAAATTCTCACCCCAAGTCCACTAGATTGAGGGCAATCACTGCAAGTGTTGCAATTAACCCACAAAACATCGCTCCCAGTATCAATCTGCACGTTAAACTCTTTCGGAGGAGAACCCATCTTCACTTTCGTAAAATACAGCCTGCACAAGAAAACCAAGATTACCCACATGTCCATAGTGTACTTTTTTAATTGAAACTTGATAACATTACCCTTTAAATAAAATGAAGAATAAGTCAAATTTACATCAAAAAATGATTTACAGGCATTAAACTAGATGGAAGAAAACCCACAGCACATAAAAAATATAGTGAAATATAGCAATTAGCCAATAAAAAATATAGTCAAATGTAGCAACATACTTTTATGAATAAATGAGTATATAAAAAATGGTAAGGGTTCATAAATTCTGAGACCAATAAATGAAGAAGGGTTGATTTAAAAAAAGAAACTTTAGTCGAAAATAAGAGAACCCAGAAAGAGAAAATTGAAGTTACCCATACCCAACAAGAGCGTTGGGATCGGAGGTTCCTTGAACTGAGAAGTCAACAACGCCGCCAGCAACACCGCGCAAGATTCGAGCGTGGCGGGCCATATCATGAGCCCTGAGGGACTCCAACTCCACACGGTGGCTAACAGGAACGGCACGTTCTAAAGGGAGGATAAAGCTGTACACCACCGACACTGGCGCCACCGCCACCGCCACCGTGGTGGCTATGGCTAACAACGTCGTAAGACAAAAACGCATTTTTATTAGTGTTTTTTTTAAATCTCCGTTTGGGTATTACTCTTATGAGGTCGATAGAGTTTGTGCATTGGAAGTTGAAACATAAAGTGAGAGGTGTAGTTTCTTTCAGGACATGGGAATTGTTCATCACTCTTATTAAAGCAGAATTAGTGTTCGATTAAACTTACTAACTAACATTAATAATAATAATAGCAACCAGAGTTGGAGACACACCCTTTATCCTTATTTGGATTGGACATTAATTATTTTTAATAAAATGCCAATCATAAGTATCATTCCCACACCTTCATACTTTTGTATTTTGCCATAAATCTAACCAAATATTAAAAGAGAACATCGATAATGTAAAAGTTTTTATATTGTTATCATATCATTCATTTTTAATAATTATTGTCTAATAATAAAAATAATACAAACGAATGGTGAAAGATAGGGTGACTATGTATAAATCTTTACATTGTCAATGCATAAATATTACACTCATAGAAAAATTAATTGCATTTGGAAAAAATCAAATCGGACATTTGAACTACTTAGAAGCCAACCAACATGACTTCTAAGTCTTTCTCCTCCTTCTTGTTATATCATTCGAATGATTAGGATTTGACTCTACACGTTTATCTCGTTTGACATAATTATGATTGGATTCGAATGTGAAAAACTCTTATTAGATCTAGGGTCATGTTCGAGTTAAAAAAATTAGACTCATAATATTTATGATCGGGTAATAGACAAACATGAGACGTCACAGGGTCAATCATTCGTCATGTTTATACGTACATATCCAATTATTTATAAAGTAATGACATATCCTTAGTCTAAAATATCATTGATTTTCTACTTTTTTATCATATATACAAATATGTAAATGATTAACAAAATATCTACATATATGTATCATTTCATATGTCAAATTATATATCTATAATAATAATTAATATTGAGAAGACATTATCTAAAAAAATATGCATTATATTTAATCATGCCTAAGTCAAGTTCAAATTTAAAAATTAGTTCAATCAATATTTAGGGTCGAATTAACCTTACGTCGTACACGTAAGGACCAAAATATACCAAAAGAATATATTATTATGTACCATTAAAAAACATATTTTCCTTTAAAAACTATCACACCAGAAAATAAGCTAATAATGCATTATTGTGCTCTAAGGTGTCTATGGGTATAAGAACAAGACACTATAACCTAATTAGGTACTTAGTTAAATTTTCAAGATTAAATTTAAACTAGTTGTTCTTTAAGTTGAAAGTTGACCTATCAAAACGGATCCGGTAAATTGGGTCAGACCGTCAAAGTCCAAAACAATATAAGTTTTGGATATTAAATTTTGAATATTTTGCTTAAACAAGACTTTTAGCCTAATTTGTCCATGCCACAATAAATTCCAGGCTCAAGCAAGCCTTACCTATCATGGTTAAAACCTTTGGATATCACGTTCTATTTGGTTAGTCAATTTCCCCCATATCTACTATTGTAGTCTCACCCTTTAGCTTTCCTTTTTCACTTCCCCTTCTAATTCTGTGAAGAAGATCTAATTCTTGAACTTGACTAGGTTTTGATGGAAACATCAACATCAACAAAAAGAAGACAAATGATTGAAGACTTAAAGCATAGAAAGCAAGCACTTCAAATAATTAAGATTTTTTTGCTTTCTAGGTTAAGTTCTTCCTTCTCAAGTCATTTACTTAGTTGTACCTCAATGCTCATAGGAATGATTTCCAAAATGTTTTTGAAAACTTTAACTTGGTTTAAAAATGAGTTTCAAAAGGTTTAAAATGAACATTGAGTAACGGGTTACTCGAAACTAGGTAACATACCACTCGAAACTAACTAACATATTACTTGATGTTGTGCAATGGCTCGTATGCAATGGATCATGCCTTTTCTCATGATAATAGCAATATGAGTTAAGAGTTTGGGCGAGTGTAAAGGAGTTGTGGTAGATGACTATATATTTATGTTATGTAAACCTAATGTAACAAGGAAAACAATAGTCATAAAGCACAAATCTTAATTATCTAATACATAGTGACAGTCTCTCATCGCTCTCGGTGACGTAGACATAATTAGTTGAATCTCATTACCAAATTCTTTGTGTTATTATCTTATCCATATTCTTTTTTACTATTGGATTGCTCGCTTGCTCCCAACAATTAGTATCATATGACTCTTAACCTAGATGTCAAATTCCAGGTAGGGAAGTTCGATGGAACTAGTAATTTCGGATTGTGACAGATGATGGTTAATGATGTGTTGACTCAACAAGGCCTATCAAAGACGTTGTGTGAAAATAAATCAAATGGTATGGACTAACTAAACATGGATGAGTTGAAGGAGAAGGTTGCGAGAATCATAGGACTCTGTCTATCAGATGAGGTAATGTATCATGTTACGAATTCAATGTCACTAATAGAGGTATGGAAGATTAGAGAAGCAGTTCATGTCCAAGTCTCAAACAAACAAGTTGTATTTGAAACATAGACTCTATGACCTTAAGATGCAGGAAAGTACTGATTTGCAATAACATCTCAACACTTTTAATCAAGTGATCAATGACTTGCAGAAACTTGATGTGAAGGTTGATGATGAAGATAAAACAATAATATTATTGTGTTCTTTACCAAATTGCTATGAACACGTTACAATATTAACGTATGAGAAAGACTCAATTAAATTGGATGAGTTCTACACTTCTATCACACACTCAAAGAAGATAGATTACAGTGGAAGGGTTTCAACGTGATGATCTATATGTGAAAAAAATTATTAACTTAGGGAAAAAGGATATGTAACTCACCAAGTCCAAGTTATGTCTTTGTTTAAAGATATCTCTAAATAGCTTATAAATTAGTTAAAAGATTATTTAAAAATAAATAAATAAATTACTTATATTTGACAAATAAAGATATTACTTAGCTAAATTTTAATTTTGTAACCCTTATAAATTGTTAGAGTCTCATGTAGGGATGACAATGGGTATCCGAACTTATGGGTACCACCAAATTATATTTGTAATGGGTTTGGTCTAAGTCCATGTTTTAGACCCATCGATAATTGAGTCCTGAGATTTTGAGACCTGTTGTTGGATGACTTTAAGTCCAAGTAATGAGGTACCCAGACATGCGGGTACCCGCATATGCTATTCCTTCCTAAATATATATATAATAACGTAATTGTAATATCGTATTAATTCATAAATGTAATGATTATGTTATTAAAGTATGATATTATGTTGTTAATTCATAAGTATGATGTGATGTTATGTTCTTACTAAATGAATTTTTCTCATAATGTTGAAGTTGTTTTTTATGTTTGTTTGAGTAAAATGAGTTGTATTTAATAGTCGAATTAAATTGTAGTAAATAAACACAAATGCATAAATTACTCATAATTATTTTTTAATATTTTTGAATTTACGGGTACCTATAAATCCGCTATGTACCCAAGAACCCACAGATAGTATACCCAACACGTATTAGTATGGGTATGAGACAAGTTTGGATCTAGATAATCCACTACCCAAATCCACCTAAACCCACTACTATCCCTAGTCATGCCGCAAAATATATATATATGATTGCTAACATGAGTAACTCTATTTTTTAGTTAGGTACATGTTAGCATTGAGTATCATAAAAGTTGGACAAAAAATACCCTTAATGTCATTGAAATGAGTAGTAATGATAAAAGTATTTTGTTAAATTTTATTCTAAAAATTAAAAATAAGAATTTATTATTTTCTCTCTCCTCTACTCACCATCTCAAACATTCAAACTCATTTCTTCAATCCAACTAAGAACCATAATCCTCAATTTTTTCAATCCCAATTTTTCACTCATCTCCCACCTTCTACAATTCTAACCTTTCATTCATTTCCTTCTACAAATTTTAAAGGAATTTCTTTACACAAATACAACCCTTACAACAAAAGTCAACATAATTCAATATTCCATTATTGCATTATGCAAACTGTATAATTAACGTTATATACATATATAATTCATTTCCATCACTATCATATTGGTTATTTTTTCTGGATAAAGTTTCAAAATGACTAATTAGAGTATTTGACTTATAATAGAGGGATGATCCATTGCAGACTTATTTTTCTCTTGAACATTTTTCATCCCATCTTTTAGCTTTTACTATTAAATAGAAACAAACCTGAATTATTATACAACCCTGAATTTACATATATTGGCATATATGAGTAACTTTCTTACATATACTAGTAACTTTGTAACCAAAAAAGAAACAAAAGGTGAGAGATAAAACACTCATAACCAAAAAACCAATACCACAAAACACTACATCAAGAAACTCAAGAATCAAACAAATATCATTTAACTTTGTAACCAAAATAATCAAAACTGAACACTAGATTTAGAAACAAAGGCCATGTTTGGGATAGATTATATTTTGTAGACTCATAAACAAAAACCAATACCACAGAACCAACACTATACTCAACACTAGACTCATAACCAAAAACCAATACCACAAAACAAAAAAGAAAGAGTGAGAAATAAAAAAGGAGAATAAAGAGGAGGATGATATTACCAAATAGTGATTGTGTTATGGAGATGCGAGGATGACTAAGTGGAGATGGATCAGCATCAATGAGGTTTTGGTTTTAGAACTTACGTCTGGTGATGAAAAGGAGAAGGAGGAAAATGGGAACTGTCATTGAAGAAAATGAGGTTGTGGTTTTACTTGATTTTATTAGATATGAATACACGTAGTTATTATTGCCAACCACTTATGTTGCTATCTCTTCATATTAGTACTTGTTTGAAGTAATATTCTTATTAGTGTTCATATAGCTCTTACGTAATTGTTAATTGTTCATTGTTCATATATTTGCTATATGTTCATATAACAAATTAAGTAGTAATTAATGAAGTTCGGTGGTGGTGATAATGTGAATAGCTATGTTGAGAATAAAAAGAGGAGAGATATAAAGTTATAATGAAGTAAAATGAGAAATAGAAAAATTGGGAAAAAATAAGCTAAAAAAAATAAACCAACCCATGATTTTGGAGCTTCTACTTTTGGCTTAATTTTCCAGAAAAAAATCTAAATTTATAAACTTTTGATTACCAAACATACATAATTTACATTTTCAACTTATTTTTTAAAAAATAAATATAAACTACAAAATTTAAACTATACCATTTGGTTTGTAAAATAATCATCCCATTTAAAATTAGTGGAGTTATTAGCATATTTTTTTCATACCGTAACAAAAGAATAAGTAGAAATGAATGGATATATAAAATTTAGAAATATATTGTATTGGGATGTTAAAAAATTGAAGTTTCTATTATCACGGTCACCTTTTACTTCCTTTTGGAATTGCAAACTTGGAAAACCTTTTTTACTTTGACACACACTATCTCTTCTCCATTATGTCAGAACCAACCACCGTTCCCCCAACACCGCCGCTACCGTCTCATAAGAGTTGGGCCGACGAAGCAGACGACGAAGCTGCCGATGAATCCAACGCAACGGCGTCGTCTACTTCAGCAACACCACAAACCTCATCACTAAACGAATTAACCATCGATGAGAACAAAAAACCTCCGAAACACTTGGATGACCCCGACGATTCCAACATCCAAACGGTTTCATCTCAATTTCAATTTCTACTTTTCCATATCTCCAATTTCTCGGCGAGAATTTGACGGTTAGGTTTTTTGTTTAACAGGTTACGAGTGGCGAAACGCCGTACACTTCTGCGGCGACGTTTGAAGAGTTGAATCTCTCGCCGGAGCTGCTGAAGGGTTTATATGTGGAGATGAAGTTTCATAAGCCTAGTAAAATTCAAGCTATTAGTTTGCCTATGATTTTGGACCCTCCTCATAGGGATTTGATCGCACAGGCGCATAATGGTTCTGGAAAAACAACGTGTTTCGTGCTTGGGATGCTTAGCCGCGTTGATCCTAAGCTTCAGGCTCCTCAAGCTCTTTGTATTTGCCCAACTAGGGAGTTGGCTATTCAGGTGAGTTTCTTTGCTTTTTTGATTTTATTGTTAAGAAGAGCCGAGATTAACTTCGCAATTTAATGAAGATATTAATGAAACTATGCCACATTGTTTGTCCATGTCATTGAAATTTGTCCAAGTTTTACTTTCACTGTCGACTCCTTGATCCAGGATTGAGACCAGCTATTTAAGAAATTGTGACAAAGCATGATATAGGCAGAAACGATTATGTAAATGATTTTTCTATATAAACATGATTTATGTCGGGACTTTATGATGTCATTTGGTCCTGATAGAGATCACGAGATGAAAAATGAAAAAGAGAGAGTACTATAACGTGAAATTGAAAGGAACATATTTTTAATTGAGTAAACTGTATTACAGAAGGATAAACCCTGCTATCCCCATAGAGGTAAGCCCTCTCCCTCAGCCCCCCTTCCTATGTATTAGGGATCACACTAGTAACTAACTCTCACTATCAACATTCCCTTTTTTATTTTTTTCCACATGTCATCCAAATCCACAATAGGAGTATTGTGTTGTAAGTTGTAACAATAGGCCCTCGACCGAATTGTGCTATTGGGCTTTTTACGCTTTTATACACCGGGGTGGCTGGGACCTTACAGTACTGCCCTCTTGAATTTAAGGCTTATCCTCAAGGTTGGAAAGTGGAAGCACTGTGCATTGATTTTTAGTTTGGAACAGAAGAACTACTTTTAGCAGCATCTTTCCATGCAACCTCTTCTGTTAGTTGCTCTTCCCATGGTGGGCGCCATCTTAAAAACACTCAACCCCCTTCCTCAAAGCTTGGACCAATGCTCTCTCTATCAACTTGTTGCTTCATATTCTCTTTGCCTTTTTTTTTTAAAGAAAAGAACAGCTGCTGTCCTCTGAAGTTTTCTCCTTGTTGTTCATCATTGAAATATGTTTATGTAGACCATAAAAGACCCAACCGTTTTTCTTGCTATTTGCCCATAGTCATGATTTTACTTGACATTTGGCCTGCATCTAAACTGCATTATTTTGTCTCCACATTGGAACCCGATCAGCTTCCACATCCAATCTGTCTAGACCTCTCCCAATGTCCCCATCCAAGTCATTCCTAATATCAAATCAAGTTCCCCCAACTCAATGACAAAGTGATCAATTGAATTACTAAAACTAGCCAATTCTACTACCAGACTATCACATTTCCCCCGTAGCATCCTCATATGATTGTTATCAAATTGGACTTCAAGTGTTCTGTTCTTTCTAAGTTCTAACCCCAAAGCTTTCACCAACCTCCGATATGAAATTATGAGTAACTCCACCAACACCCCTATAGGTGTCCCTCTAATTTTCCAATCTAATTTCATGGTTTTTGGACGGGTGTGCGTTAACCATGCTATCAGATTCAGAATACGACACTCCATCTCTTCCTTCCCTTTATCCTCCATTTCCAAGGCAAGGATCACCGCTTCAGACCTTGAGAACTGATCATCCTCCATGATCAATGATTTCAGTTGGTGATCAGGGCATTGATGGCTTGATGCATTGGATGGAAAGTTCCTCTACATTTGTAACACCCTTTTTGGTTCATCTCCATAGGCTTTTGATAACTCAGATGGCGAAAATTCCTATCCCAGTTCTGCTGTCGTCTTCTTTCTCCCTGTATTTGTCCCAGACTCCCTTCCTTGTCCTACTGTCTCCTTCATCTCTACCAAACTCTTTCCCATTGTTGTAACCTCCCATTTCTCCTTTGCCAGGTTTATCATCACCTCCTATAAAAATAAAATGCAAACTCCAATGCCTTTCGATATACTTCACCCTTGTCCCTTTTTCTCATAAACTTGCTGGCTAGAGTTTCCTTAGCATTTGCAATGAAATTAGCTTCCACGGATTGAGACAATCTTATACCTTTTGACAGATATTAGATCGCAAACCACACATAAAGTAAGCCATAAATTGCTTCCGGTGACTGAGGAACTTGGGTGACGATGAAACTCAAACAGTTTGATGTACCTCAGAGAGGCTCTCGAATGGGTTCTCCACTTGTTGGCCCCCAAATGGAACCAACAACGACTTTTTGTGATGTTCCCAATTTGGATTCATCTCACATTCATGCCACAGTGCCAAATGCAGTAGGTCTTCGAATGCCTGTCTCTGATGTGAGCATCAAACCTCCTCTGATATCTCCTTTGGAAGAACCCAGACTTCCAGTGTGAGATCGATCTGCTCCTTTTGCCAAATAAGCCTCCTTTTTCTTCAACTCCTCCATCACTGCCTGAAAAATACATTGACATTCACTTTGTGTTGGGATGCTTGATATATATTATTAGATTAGTCCCACACCGCCTAGTATTGGAATAGAGTAGAATAACCAATGTTATATATTGGACTCAAGTCCCTTGTTGTAATGTGCACCAGATATAAGCACCAAATAGAAACACCCCATGGGCAGTTGGGCCCATGGGTGTGATAGGGTTTGTAATCCTTATTTTCTAATAATATATTGGTAGCCGCTCAGCGCTCCCGGGGACGTAGGCACAATTGGCCGAACCCCGTTACCAAATTCTTTGTTTTTTCTCTTCTATTTATTCTATGCATTATTTGATCTGCGCAACGATCGCTTCCGCTGCACCAACAATTGGTATCAGAGCCAATTGGTAGAGGGCTCTTAACCCAGGTGCTAGATAAAGGCAAAAGAGGGTGAAGACATGTTGGTTAGACAATGTGCATCAAAGGTATGCAAGGATAAAGGAGATGAGTTGAAGGAGAATAAAATATGGCGGAATTATGGTGGAGCGATATATGTGTTGATCCAGAATCCTAGAAGTTCATGTATTAGATTAGGATCAAGGTGGAGATAGGGACTCAGATATTGAGTTTGACCCTGACACAGGTGCTGGCTGACTTTGATGCAGGGTGTAACATGGACATTGGTTTTGATACAAGATGTGACACGAGCATTGGTAGAGATGCAGTGTGTGACATGAGCATTGGCTTGGATGCAAGGATGTTGGCACGAGCATTGGTTAGCATTAAGCAAGGTGTGTGCTGTGGGTATACTCCTTATGGTGGAGTATGATAGTTCTTTTCAACTATGATTGTCGGGTTAGACAATGGTGGTAGCAGTTGAGGCTTTCCAAGGAAGCTTCAAGGTTCAGCTTGACTGAGTATTGAAGAGAACGGTTGTTGGTGAATTTTTGTGTAGAGGTTCCATATATCGAAAGACTTCTTAGTAATAGGTGGCTAGGCGGCGTGTTCTATTAGATGGCGGTACGGGAATGTGCACTAAAAGTTTAGAGAGCTAGGCTCTTGGTAACATCGTCGAGGATACTCAGAAGGTTTATACTGAAGGGGAGCAGACTCTTATGTGGAGTTGTTAGAGAAGATTATGCATTGAGCAAGGTGGAGTCAAATATTCGCTAAGGTGAAGAATCTTGTGTAGATTTCCTAAGGGGTGAGATATCCGTCTATTTCAATCAAGGTGAAGATTGTTGGGATGCTTGAAATATATTATTAGATTAGTCTCACATCGCCTAGTATTGGAATAGAGTAGAGTAACCAATGTTATATATTGGACTCAGGTCCCTTGTTGTAATGTGTACCAGATATAAGCACCAAATAGAAACACCCATGGGTAGTTGGGCCCATGGGTGTGATAGGGTTTGTAATCCTTATTCTCTAATAATATCTTGGTATTCGCTCAACGCTCCCAAGGACGTAGGCACAATTG